TTATCAGTTACATTAAAATTGCTTCTTCTTTTCACAAACATTTTACCGCTTCTGTCTATAGAATCACCTATCAAAGCATATCTACGTGTGGGTCTACGTGTTGCAACGTTTGAAAAGGGTTTGCATCTCTTTATACACAGATCTGTCAGACAGCGTGTTCCTAGCTGCAAAGGGTTAAGATCTGTAATATCGCTAACATTTTCCGCTCTATTTTCATCTGTTATTTTTAACAAGAACCTATTTTCAGATGCTTCTACCCCACCCCCCGCGAGACACCAATGTGTGATTGATGGCAGAAATAAAAACGAAGTCTGTTTAATCCACAGGTGAAAATATCATCAGGTAGACAGCGTTCAACGAGTGAGTATGGAAACCTATTGGAATAAAAATATGTTATTTTCTGTTTCAACTGCGTAAGATGGAAATATTACATCGAAATCTGTATTTTTCTACTATTTTGATATTGTTATTTTACTTCGTTGTCAACGGATATCAAGTTTGTGTGTTTTTGTTGCGTCAAAATACATCAGAATTTTAAAAACATTGCAATTATTATAAAATATAGTACTTACCCTTAACGTACAGAAGAATTGCTATATACAAATATAAATATGTTTATATAAGTATAGCAATAATTAGTTGTTTTTTTTTTTTGTTATAATTCCTTCTTTTGCCTTTGTAGCAGTATTTTTTTTATTTTTTTCCTTTTTCTTGTTGTCTTCCTCTGTCTCTTTTTTTTTTTTTTTTTTTTTTTTGATAGGTTAGGGAGACTTCCTTTTCTAAGAGGTCCTTTAAGCTGACCGCCCTTGTTTTAGTGCTTATAGGAGAGCGGCCGTTTTATTGTGAGCAAGGTGGCACTCGATACCAATAACAAAGGTAATTAACAGAAGTCAGCAAAAAGAGGTCCATAACAATTGTTGGCCTAAGGTCGATCTCCGGCTGCTTGAATAATCAAGAAAAGAAAGCATAACCTATTCGCGAAATCACTAACCTTTTTAAACACTAGTTTACATACATACACCCAAACACACACACACACACATAGATAAATAGATAGATAGACAGACAGACACTTACATGTGTGTGTGTGTATATTTTGGGGTGCTAATATGCTGGTTGCACAGAGTGGAATGTTATTAAAAAAAGAATATTTTTGCGAGAGTTGCGATTAAGAATATCGAAATTTTATAAAAGGAAACTTGTTTTTAAATTTAGGGATGCGTATTTTTCGGCCACAGAAAATTAGCAACAATTGTAGAATATTTAAGGTAAGATTATGAGAAAAAAAAATAAAATTATTTTAATACTGCGAGGCCAACGTTTAGAACGGTCTCTCTAAATTTTTAATTTTGATTACGGATATTAAACGATTTTTTTAATAGAGTGAAAACATTAATATTACGTTTTCTTCTTTGGAAATGTCTTGTTTCTTCTTTGGATATTGTTTTTTTGTTGCTCTTTTTGCTGTTATTGTTGCTTCACTTCTCTTTCTTCTTATTTCTTAATCCCCCTTTTTAGTTTCTTCCTTCTTCTGTTCCTCTTTTTTTCATTTTTTTTTTCCGTCTATTAACTTTTTTTATTTAATTTTCCTCTCAGATTTCCTTGCTTCTTTGCGTTGATAGTAAAGATTAAAACTTGCTCCGATTTTTAGAACAAAAACGCCTTCTGTCAGATGTTTCACGAAATATAAGCTATATATGTATATATATATACAGAGAGAGACATATACACACTCGTCTGTCTTGAGAGTTGTAAGGTACGTCCAAGTAAAAGAAGTTCTCTTTCTACGGTTTTCAGACAGCGAATGGGAAGGAGAAATGAAGACGGGAAAGAGACGGTGGGTAATTTCCTTAATGAAGAAAGGGAGTTGGGAGGGAAATAAGTTTTAAACGGACAAGTCCCGAATTAATAAACAAAATAAAAAAATAAAAAAAATAAAACAATGCCGGCTTTAGATCTGACTTGTCATTGCATTGCTAGGCACTGCCGACCCTCATTACACTCTACGTAGTTTGGACCTCACTGACTAACAGGTCTCTCTCTCGCTCGTACGCACTCTCACTCATTCGAAATATCTCGCATCTTCTTCTTCTTCTTCTTCTTCTTCTTCTTCTTCTTTTCCTATCTCTCCCTTTCCCCAGCTCTTCATTCTCATAATTTCTAATATTTGTTGCTCGTTCGGGCCTCACGGGGCAAAACGTTTGCGATGGATGAGATCAGTTTTATCGATGGACAAATGTAAGGCATCATTTAGTCTGGCACAAGGACACGTGTACGACATACAGTGTGGTTTGAACTCACTTCCCAGGGGACACGGATCTCCTTTTCTTCTCTCTCTCTCTCTCTCTCTCTCTCTCTCTCTCTCATTTTTCTCTTTCTCTTTCTCTCTCTCTCACTATATTTAATTTTAATACTATTTTCCATATAGTTTAAATATATATATATATTATAGTTTATATATATATATAAAAAACTATAATATATATATATTATAAATATATATATAAAAATTTATAATATATTATATATATATATATATATATATATATATATATATATATATATAAAAGTATATATATATATATATTATAGTTTTACAAAGATAATGTTTATTAGTTTAATCAATTCCAAAATTGGTTGTGTTGGAGGATTTAAAAATGTAATCTCATGCTGAAGATTGGTTCCATTATAGCAATATAATAACACAGACGTTGTAACATGACTTTAAATAAATATTTACTTTTATCTTTTATGACTGTAGATTTACGTGCTTATATATATATATTATATATATATATATTATATATATATATATGTGTGTCTGTGTGTAGCGTGAGAGGCGGAAGTTAATCAAGATGTAGGTGTTTGAAATGATTAATTTGATTGCTTCGATTCTATATCGTCAGTTATGAAAAACAAATGATTTTTTAAACGCTTTAAGGGCTTTATTGTCAGCAGGGCGTGAGCTAGATCGGAGTAGGGCTTATATTGTTACGAAGTAGAAATAAAGACAATGATTATGTTGCCTTGTCTTCATAGATAGATAGATAGATATGAATGAATAGATAGATAGATAGATGAATAGATAGATAGATAGATAGAAAGAAAAGAAAGAAAGAAAATACGGCAAACGAGAATGATGGTTACGCTTGAGACTCGGAGGAAGAAAATAACAGGATATATATAGATATATATATATATATATATATATATATATATATATATATATATATATATAGAGAGAGAGACAGACAGAGAGGATGAAAGGGAAAAATATAGGATGGATAGAAAAAGAAAGAGATAAATTAAAGTCAGATAGAGTAACAGAATGGATGTAAAGAAAGAAAGAAAGAAAGAAAGAAAGAAAGAAAAGAAAGACGGAAGGAACTCATTGTGTGAGAAAAAGAGAGAGGTAAAAGACATAGCGAGATAGAAAGGAGAGAAATCAAGGAGTGATAGAAAGAAAAAGGGAGAGAGAAGTGAAATGACAGATAGTGAAGAGAAGAAAGAAGTAAATGAAAAAGGGATAGTGAGAAAGAAAAAAAGAAGAAGCAAAAGAGCCTTATTAGGAATTCCTTTAATACCTTTTGGAAATGCTTAATAAAACATTTTCTAACTACCAATTCGAGAACTTGAACCATGTCCGTTTCTCTTCATCTTTCCTATTACAACTACTATTACTACTGCTACTTCCGATACTGCTGCTACTGCTACAATTCTTCTCATACTTGCTACTTTCTCTCCTGCTATGACTAAAGGCAAAGCCGCAATTACGACCAGTTCTACTCCGTCATTTGCAATAAGTGGCGACGAGTAGTACTACTGCTTTTCACTTGAGGATGCACTATGTGTAGTACTACTAGTGTAAGCAGTTATAGTCACTCATTACTGAGACTAAGAACTAGAGACGGTGAGGTTGGTTAGAGTAATGGTGGATAGGGAGTCAGAAGGCGGCAAGGCATTTTTACTGCTTCGAAAACAGAGATGCCGGTCTCGAACAAAGATAGGGAATTAAGATAATCTCTAAAATTGAAGATCTCGGTCTTTAGTCCCCAACAGAGACGTGTATGAATGTGTGTGTGGGGGGGATGTGAGGGAGAGAAGTAGAGGGTGATAGAGAAAGAGTGAATGAGAGAGTACTTAAAAGTTCTGTCTGCAGAAACGTCTAGAATAACCAAGATGAGAAAATTAATTCGAAATAAAGTTTATCGAGAAATTCTTACTTTAAAAATAAAATATTTAAAAAAAAGAATCGTAAACATTTCTTTCTCACCATTACATACATATTACGATAATGGATACTAATATTTTAAATAAATGATCCTTTTTATTTTAAACAATGTATATTAAATTCAAGAAATCTTAATGAAGAAAAATACGCTCTCTGGCAGGGATCAAACCTGCACCCCCTTTGTAGGAGAATTCATCGTTTGATCTAGAGTTTTTTACGGTTCGTCTACGGAGACATCATTTTTTGTTTTTTTTTAAGGAAACCATATTTTTTCATTGAGATCATTTTTACGAAAGCACATATCTGCTCTCTTTCTCACCCGAACGTAAACAATGCCGTTTGTAATGGATCAATGGCTGTATTTTTAATGCGACACTTTATTACTTTAAAATGACGGTTTAAAAATAAATACACTGGTTGCATAATTCTAAGTTTCATGCAAAATGCAATCGTCAGGTACTGATTAAAAACTCATTTTTTTTTTCAATCACCACCTGTTGATTGCGTTATACATACAACTCTGAGGTGAGCTACCGCTGGAGAAAACTATTTATATTTATCTATATATATAAAACAGAGGATGTCAGTTTGTCCGTGTGTCTGTCTGTCTAGCTGTCTCTGTGCTTGGTATATTTTCACTCGAGATCCATGCAACCGATTTTGACCAAACTTGGCACATACATTGTACAATGTAAGAGATAGGTTCTTAGCGTAAAAAATCGGTAATTTTTTTAAAAATCAATAATTGATAAAGCCGATCAAAAATCCA